CTTAGGCCCAGAAGGGACCCTCAGAGGTCATCTCCTTCCCCTCATGGCATCAGGCAGGCCTGGGGAGGTGGTGTTGTACAGGGAAAAGAACACGTCAGACACGGAGTCAGGAAGACTGGGCTCTAGCGTTGACTCTGCCATTAACTGGCCTTGTGAATTTGGACAAGTCACTTAGCCTCTGGTCACTAGTCTTCTCATCCTTCTGACTAGGATACTCTGTGTGTCTAGGATCTAAAACAGGTCTCCTTTCATTTTAAAAAACATTAGGAAAAGGAAATTCCATAACCTTCCCTTCGTCAACAGCCACTTTCAGCATCCTTATAGTGAGTTGTTGTGTAGTTCAGTCGAATCCAACTCCATGGACTTTTTTCCATGGGGTTTTCTTAGCAGTTACTCTGATGGCTTGCCATTTCCTTCTCCAGTGTTTTCCCATTTTACAACTGGGGAACGGAAGCAGATAGAGGTTAAATGACTTGCCCAGCTAGTAATCGTCAGAGACTAGATTTGAACTCAGATCTTCCTGACTCCAGGCCCTATCCACTCTCTATCCACTGCACCACCTAGCTACCCCATATTGTACCGGTAAAATTATTGGTTTTTAGCACCTGACATCATTACTGTTTTCCTCAGTCTCGTGCCCCCTATAGTATAAACAGTAGGAGCCAGAACATCTCTCAGGACCATGGAGCAATATAGAGCTGTTTCAGCAAATAACTGTGTTGGAATGTGGGGTCTGGGTAATGCTGCAAATCAGTAGACAGTAAAGTAAACAAACAGGGGAAAACTCCCTTACAACCTACAACTGTTAATTTTTTTGGTTTGTTTTTCGTTATGATGGCATTTATTTAAAATAAATATGTTGCTACAAATCATTTTCCTTGCCTACAGGACTTAAAAAGAAATAGACCAGACTAGCGAAATAGCAGGCTTTGCCCTAACCAATTAAGGGATACTAGCACCTTGTTCTTAATTCCTAAATCTGTTAGGAGTGTTGGGTGGGTTTTGCTTGTTTGTGGTTTGGGAGCTCATGTTTGTTTTATTTTGGTGGTTGGCATTCTTCAGGAAGGCTAAAGAAGGCCAGACAGGGGTTTGGAACTGTGAGTGTGCAGCGTTGCACGCACTGTCAGCCTCTAAGTTCTTTGTCAGAAGGAATTACTCAATAAAGAAATAGAGTGGAGGAAGGAAGGCTATTCTTGGAAATCAATGTGATGTAACTACAAAAACTATCAAGAAAAATTCAAGAAAAAAAGATCAGTGGTAGCTTTGGAGAGAACAATTTCAGTCAAGTGGTAGCAGTGGAAGCCAGATTGCGAGGGGCTGAGAAGTAAGTCGAGGGTGAGAAAGTGGGGGCAAGTATAGAGACCTTTTTCTTCTCTTTTTTTAAATGTATTAGTTATTTTTAGCATTTTTTTTAAATTTTGAGTTCCAAATTCTCTCCTTCCCTCCAACCCCTCCCCCACCTATTGAGAAAGCAATATATCATTTATGTATATGAAATCATGTAAAACATATTTCTATATTAACATGTTACAAAAAAGCAAGAAAAATAAAAAGTGAAAAATTATACTTCAGTTTGCACTCATTTCATCAGTTCTCTCTCTCTCTGAAGATAGATGGTATTTTTCATCATGAGTCCTTTGGAATTGTCTTAGATCATTGTATTAATCAAAGTAGCTAAGTTTTTCACAGTTGGTCATCATTACAATATTGCTTAAACAGCTTTTTCTAGTAGTTTCACTTTGAAAAAATGGAATATAGATCATAATAACCCGAAGTGATGGAAGGGTCGAGTGAAGATTTTTTTTAAGGATGAGGAAGATCTGGGCATGTTTATAGGCATCGGGTAAAGCAGCAGTGGATAAGAAGAGATTGAAATGTAAAGACTAAGAGGGTTGATTAAAGGGACAGACTCCTAGGAGAGCCAGGAAGGGGTGAATTCAAGAACAGTTGTAGGGGCAGCTAGGTGGCACAGTGGATAGAGCTCCAGCCTTGGAGCCAGTAGGGCCTGAGTTCGTATCCGACCTCAGACACTTAACACTTACTAGCAGTGTGACCCTGGGCAAGTCACTTAACCCCATCGCCTCACCAAAAAGCAAAAACAGACAAATCCAGAGCAGTTTTAGAGCACCAGAAGAGCACCTGGGCTACGCAGGAAGAAGGACCGCCACATCCTTGGAGAGTGAAGCAGAGGAGGAGAGGGCTGGGAGTGATGCTGAGGTCATTCCAGGTGTAGGGTCGGGAGCAGAAGCAGCTCTCAATGGACAGAATCCATTTTTTCTGAGGCGATCACCGAGTAAACGTCAGCAGTCTTGTCGGTGCGATGCCATGGCACGGCTTGGGTTCTGACTAGCGGGAACTCAAAGTCTGAGCCCTCGTTCCTTGCTCAGACTCTTAATGTCCTGAGCACAATTACCATTTGTTTCTCCTGCTAGTAAATGATGCTGGAAGCAGAGAGTCTGCCATCTGTGTTAGAACAATGATGATTTATCCCCTTCCGTTCACTCACGACTGTTGAACGAATGAGATCCTATCCCTGAGCCTGTTCTTTAGGCGGGATGCCTCAGAGGGGGAGATATGTTTAACGTATACCCTTTAAATGACTGTCACCACATGTGATGGAATAGATGTATGTCTTTGTCACAACTATCCTCTTACTAGACTGAGGCAGCCAGAACGTAAAATATGTAAAACTTGATTCTGCATCCCCCTGAAAACTTAAGGTGGGAAATTATATGAGCTGGAACCTAATATCTGGGACTCACCTTTAAGGGAAAGAGTGCACAAAAACCTGCAAGGGACCACTGTGCCATGTTCTAAGAGGAAGCTGCTGAGCTCTTTGTCACGATGAGATATTCGTGTTGTAAGTTTCCTGGCTGATCCTATAAACATGTCATCTTCCTTGATTTAGCTTCAAATAAATGGCAGATTATTTTTCTTTGGAGACTCGCAAATTAAGGAAGCATAAACCATGTTAATGACCGAGTGAAAACAGATCTGGAAGCCTTCCCCAAAAGGTGAAGTTTGTAGGGTGAATGGAGGAGGGTTATTTTTTTCCCCTTTCTTGGGAGCCTTCTCACTGCTCTGTAGCAAAATCACTTTCTCCTGGGCTTTTCACAGTGATTTGTTGAAAAGTCGTTTCCTTAGCAGGTGCAATAATAGTATAAGGATTTTGGGGAAACTACAGGCTGTGTGTGGGCGTGACTGAGTGTAGTAGCCATGTTGAAATCTGAATGAATTGGCAGAAGGGGAAGCATGTAAAAAGTGCTTTCTGATTGAGGTGTCATGGCCTCATAGATAGAGAACCAGGTTTGGAGTTAGAGACCCCTGTGTCCAAGCCCTGCCTGTGGGATATTCTAACTGTGGTGCCATGAGCTAGCCTCGTGACTCAACCCCTGAGTTCAGCAGGCAGCTCTTCGGTATTACTTACAGGGGATCTGCATCTCTGGGCAGCGGTGTGAGGGCTTGGGAGGGGTGGTGTGTTTGTAGACTGGAAGTTCCTGACACTGATGAAATCACAGGAATGAAGCAAACGTTGGGGGGACCGGTGGTCAGCAGAGCATGACATATAAGACACTCTTGTTCCCCATTCTTTAAGGACTCTGCTTCATCCAGGCAAGGAAGGAAAGAAATAAGCCTTTATTAAGTACCTACTATGTGGCAGGCACTGTGCTAAGTGCTTTACAAGTAGTATCTCATTTGATCCTGTAACAACCCTGTTATCATTCCCATTTTACAGTTAAGGAAACTGAAGCGGTTAAGTGACATACCCAAGGTCATGCAGCTCAGAAGTTGCCTTTGAACTACTGGAAGTGAAACTGATAAAGAAGTAGTAAGATTAGGGTTTTGTTTTTCTTTTTTTCTCCCCTCCAATTAAGGATGGAAGGGAGAGAAAATAGATTTGTATTCATTGAAAAAATAAAATTTAATTTTAGAAAATATGTAGTATGCAAGAGGGAACTAAGGCAGTTATGTGAGTCTGGCTGGGAGGCCCATGAGGAAAAGAAGTGTAACAGGAAAAATGAGGGTAGAGGTTAGAAGTAGAGGAGAGGCAGCCGCAGAAATGGACAATAGCTCCGTCTGCTCCAATTTCCAGATCTAATTCAAATGAGGGGTACAGATAAGAAGAGTGACCAGGGTGGAACAACAGGATTGACTAGAAAGGCTTCCTGCAGGAGTGGGGCTGAACCTTTATCCAAAGCCCTTGGAGATCTTCCCCGTGCCCTTTACATTTTTTTCTTGGTTCTTCCTATGAAGCACTTTCATAGAACAACTTTTACTTTTCTCTTATTCTTAAATTCTGGGTGCATGTCATTTTAAGCTCATGCAGAACAAAAGTGACTCATATGCTGACATTGCAAAGTCAAGGACCGTACAGAATTTCTCCCATTTTTACCATCTAATTGCATTATAGGTTCTTTTCCTTGCTTCAGCTGTACTTGACTAGAAAACATCCTGCCTGCCAGTACTCAAATGAAAGTATTTGGTGTTTCTCCTACAGCAAATGATAGCATCATCAGTATGCAGAACAGAAGCTGAGCATTCTCTGCTTTCAGAATTAGGAATATCTTTCACCTAAAGGGAAAACTCGGGGGAAAATTATTTCAAGAACCTTTTTAAAAATAATTGCAAATATTCCTTAATGTTGTGATTTGGCATTGTTTGTATCTAAAAGTATCCCCTGTGACCCCCAGTCCTCATTCATAGCTACAACTGATACAAGCTCTGGTGCTACAAAGAACATTCCAGCACATTGCTTTTAAGAAAAAGTGATTTCCTTTCCCCAGCTTGTCAGAGTTAGTCACAGTTGTAAAAAAGAAAACCTTGTTGGAATTCTAGATTTACTTTTCATCTCTTCTACCCTAGGAGAGAATGTGAATGTGGTTCCCATCAAGATGCCATTCTCTGTCCATGATCAAATATCTGTACAAGTGTTTGAGTTGAGTTAAGAAGGAGACTTCGCTTCTTCACTGGGACCTTCTTTGTGTTGGCTTTTTCTTTAGGCTGAAGAGACCAAGTGGCATGAGCAGCCTTTTGGGGAAAATTGGAGCCAAGAAGCAGAAGATGAGCACCCTAGAGAAATCCAAACTGGACTGGGAGAGCTTCAAGGAAGAGGAGGGCATTGGTGAAGAGCTGGCTATCCATAATCGAGGAAAAGAGGGGTAAGAGACTGCTGTACTTGGCTCAGAGCGTGATAAGAAAATCAGCGATTGCTTTTTATTTCTGTTTGTTTGTTTAAATTTGGTTAGGCAGTGGGATTAAGTGGCTTGCCCAAGGTCACACAGCTAGTAAGTGGTATATATCTGAGGTGGGATTTGAACTCAGGTCCTCCTGAATTCAGGGCTAGTGCTCTATCCACTGCACCAGCTAGCTGCCCCTGCTTTTTGTTTCTTAATGAAGCCCTGGGCCAGATTCTGTTGGGAGAATAGGCTATTTTAAGAGGTTGTCAGGGTTGGGAGGTGGGGGTGGATAGGAGACACACAAGCTCTCTCAAGGTACTAGAGTGCTGTTTGTTTTGCTCAGACTATAATTATAGACCCAGTAAAATAAATAGCATCTCCTAAAGAGCATCATTTACTTATCTGGCAGAATCTAGTCCTTTAGTATCTGTTGTTCTGGCAAAAGTAGAGGAAAGATTTTTTAAAAAATATTTCAATTTACTATTTATTTTTAGCATTCTTTTATTCTTAAAATTTGAGTTCCAAATTCTCTCCTTACCTTCCTCCTCCTCCCTTACCCATTGAGAAGGTGAACAATATGACATCAATTATACATGTGGAATCATACAACTATATTTCCATATTAACAATAGTTTTTTTTAAATTTTATTAATTCATTTTGATTTATCAACAGTCACTTCCATATGCTTTAAATTTTAAAAAAAAAGCTTAAAATTTTTCTCCCCCTTCCTCCCTACCACCCTCCCCAAGATGGCGCACAATCTGATATAGGCTATACATTTACATTCCTATTAAACATATTTTCACATTAGTGAAGTTGTAAGTAAAAATTAAAACCAATAGGAGGAACCATTAGAAAGAGGAAACAAAACTCAACAGAAGAGAAAAAAATGATAGTGATTCAACTTCCATAGTTCTTTCTTTGGATGTGGACAGCACTTTCCATCACGAGGCCTCTGGAGGTGTCTTAGATCCTTGTGCTGCTGAGAAGGGTTGAGTTTATCAATATTAGTCATCACACAATGTGGCTGTTATTGTGTACAAGCTTCTCTTGGTTCTGCTCACTTCACTCAGCATCAGACCATACAAGTCTTTCCAGGTTTTTCTGAAGTCAGCCTGTTCATCATTTCTTATAGCACAATAGTATTCCATTACATTCATATACCACAACTTGCTCAGCCATTCCCCAATTGATGGGCATCCTCTCAATTTCCAATTCTTTGCCACCACAAAAAGAGCTGCTATGAATATTTTTGTACATGTGGGTCCTTTTCCCATTTGTATGATCTCTTTGGGATACAGCCCTAGAAGTGCTATTGCTGTGTCAAAGGGTATGCACATTTTTATAGCCCTTTGGGCATAGTTCCAAATTGTTCTCCAAAATGGTTGGATCATTTCACAACTCCACCAACAATGCATTAGTGTTCCAATTTTCCCACATCTTCTCCAACATTTATCATTTTCCTGTTTTGTCATGTTGGCCAATCTGATAGGTGTGATGTGGTACCTCAGAGTTGTTTTGATTTGCATTTCTCTAATCAATAATGATTTAGAGCATTTTTTCATATGACTATAGATGGCTTTAATTTCTTCATCTGAGAACTGTTCATATCCTTTGACCATTTATCAATTGGGCAATGGCTTGTAGTCTTATAAATTTGTCTTAATTCTCTATATATTTTAGAAATGAGGCCTTATCAGAGAGACTGGTTGTAAAAATTCTTTCCCAATTTTCTACCTTCCTTCTAATCTTAGTTGCATTGGCTTTGTTTGTGCAAAAACTTTTCAATTTAATGTAATCAAAATTATCTATTTTGCTTTTTGTAATGTTCTCTATCTCCTGTTTGGTCATGAATTCTTCTGTTCTCCATAGATCTGATAGGTAAACTATTCCTTGTTCTCCCAGTTTACTTATAGTATCAGCCTTTATATCTAAGCCATGAACCCATTTTGACTTTATTTTGGTATATGGTGTGAGATTTTGGTTTATGCCTAGTTTCTGCCATACTCTTTTCCAGTTTTCCCAGCAGTTTTTTTCAAAGAGTGGGTTCTTGTCCCAGAAGCTGGGGTCTTTGGGTTTATCAAATAATAGATTACTATAGTCATTGACTACTGTGTCTTGCATATTTAACCTATTCCACTGATCCACCACTCTATTTCTTAGCCAGTACCAAGCAGTTTTGATGATTGCTGCTTTATAATACAATTTAAGATCTGGAATGGCTAGGCCACCTTCCCCTGCATTTCTTTTCATTAGTTCCTTTGATATTCTGGACCTTTCGTTCTTCCATTAACCATAGTTTAAAAAAAAAAAGGCAAGACAAAGAGAATGAGAAAGCGACACTCAAGTTTGCATGCAGTTCATCCGTGCTCTCTCTCCAGAGGGGGAGAGAGTTCTTTAATCTTGAGTCCTCTGGAACAGTCTTGCACCTCTGTATGGATGACAGTAGTGAAGTCTTTCCCAGTTGATCATCATTACAACATTGCTGTTACAGTGCACAGTGATCTCTTGGTTCTTCTAACTTCATTTTGCATCAGTTCATAGAGGTCTTCCCAGGGGCACCTAGGTGGTGCAGTGGATAGAGCACTAGCCCTGAAGTCAGGAGGGCCTGAGTTCAAATCTGGCCTCAGACCAAAACACTTAACACTTACTAGCTGTGTGACCCTGGGCAAGTCACTTAATCCCAACTGCCTAAAAATTAAAAAAAAAGAAAGAAAGAAAAAAGAAAGAAAGAAAGCATAGAGGTCTTCCCATGTTTTTCTGAAACCATCCCCCTCCTCATTTCTTGTAGCACGGTAGTACTCCATCACAATCATGTACCACAGCTTGTTCAGCCATTCCCCAATTGATGGCCATCCCCTCAATTTTCAATTCTTTACCACCACAAAAAGAGCTGCTATAAATATTTTTGTACACATAAGTCCTTTTCCTTTTACTTTGATCTCTTTGGGATACAGACCTAGAAGTGGTATTGCTGGGTCAAAGGGTATGCACGTTTTTATAGCCCTTTGGGCATAGTTCCAAATTGTTCTCCAGAATGGGTGGATAAGTTCACTACTCCAACAGTAGGTCATTGGTGTACCTATTTTTACCTCATCCCTTCCAGCATTTGTCATTTCTGACATGCGTGAGGTGGTACTTCAGGCTTGTTTTAATTTGTGTTTCTCTAATCAATAGTAATTTAGAGCATTTTTCTCATCTGACTGTGGCTTTGATTTCTTCTTCTGAAAACTGCTTGTTTATATCCTTTGACCATTTATCAATTGGATAAATTTTTTATAAATTTGGCTCAGTTCTAAACTCAGTATATATTTCGGAAATGAGGCCTTTATCAGAGAAACTTGCTGTAAATTTTTTTTGTATTACTTTACTGTCTATGGTACTTTTTAGCATAATGTAGTTTTCCTAATTATCTCTTTAAATTAGGTTTGTTTTTGCTTTTGCTTTGTCTGAGATCATGATTGCTACCTCTTTCTTTTTTACTGTAGCTGAAGCATATTAAATTCTGCTCCAGCCCTTTATTTTAACTCTGTGTGTGTCTTTCTGTATCAAGCATGTAAACATATTATAAACAACATGTTGGTGGATTCTGTTTCCTAATCTGTTCTGCTGTCTGCTTCCATTTTATGTGTGAACGCATCCCATGCACAATCACAGTTGTAATCATTAACTGTATTTTCCTCCATCCCATTTTCATCTTTTTCTTCCCCTGTCTTTTTATCTGTCTCTCCTAAAAAGTCTATTTTACTTCTAACTACTGCCTCCTTTAATCTGTCCTCCCTTTTATCAGCCCCTCTCCTTTCTCTTATCCCCCTCCCCTCCTATTTCCCTATTGGGTAAGTTGCATTTCTATATACAACTAAATGTGTATATATCTTTAAATCAATTCTGATGAGAGTAGAGAGGGCCTGCCACTCCACCCACCCCCACATTTTTCCCTCCAATGTAAAAGCTCTTCCTTGTAAGCTTCTTTTTATGTGAGAAAATTTTCCCCATTCTTCCTCTCCCTTCCCCCTTCCCTTTTTCTTAGCTCTTCATTTTTTTTTTAGATCATCCAATCATAATCAACTCACACCCATGTCCTCTATCTATGTAAACTGCTTTTAACTGCCCTAATAATGATAAAGTACTTAGGAGTTATATGTATCATCTTCTCATATAGGGATTAACTTTATTGAGTCTCTAATTGTTACTCTTTCACGTTTGCCTTTTTATAATTCTCTTCAGTCTTGCATTTGAATGTCAGATTTTCTATTCAGCTCTGGTCTTTTCATCAGGAATACTTCAAAGTCCTCTATTTCATTAAATATCCATTTTTCCCCCTAAAGGATTACACTCCATTTTGTTGGGTAGATTATTCTTGCTTGTAATTCTAGTTTCTTTGCCTTCTAGAATGTCGTATTCCAAGCCTTTTGCTCCTTTAACACAGAAGCTACTTAATCTTGTGCAATCCTGACTATGGCCTCATATTATTTGAATTGTTTCTTTTTGACTGCTTGTAGCATTTTTTTTACTTTGACCTAGGAGTTCTGGGATTTGGCTATACTATTCCTAAGAGTTTTCATTTTGGTATCTCTTTGAGGAGGTGATTGATAGATTCTTTCAATTTTTATTTTACCCTCTGGATCTAAGATATTGGGGCAATTTTCCTTGATAATTTCTTGAAATACAATGTCCAGGCTCTTTCCTTGATCGTGATTTTCAGGTAGTCCAATAATTCTTAAATTATCTCTCCTCGATCTGTTTTCTAGATCGGTTGGTTTTTTTGATGAGATAGTTCACATTTTCTTCTACTTTTTTTTTCATTCTTTTGACTTTGTTTTATTATTTCTTTATATCTCATGCAATCGTAAGCGTCCACTTGCCCAGTTCTAATTTTTAAGGAATTGTTTTCTTCAGTGAGATTTTTGTACTCCTTTTTCCATTTGGCCTGTTCTGCTTTTTGAGGAGCTCTTCTCTTCAGTGGATTTTTGTGCCTCTT